ATCGGCACTTTGTCCAAGAGACACCATGGATGCTGGAAGTTGCTTCGATGTTAAGACACGCTGGATCGAAGAAACATTCTTCTTACGAGGACGATGAAATTTCAAGGTTCCGCTCGTGATATCTTAACGAGATCCTTCTCAATTAACAATGTTATTCATCGGTAACTTCACACTCAACAAAAGAACGTTCTATTAAATTATTATTCTTAAAAAATGAAGGTAGCTTTAATAAGCTGTAGAAGCGCTTTTATAATGGAGATATCTTAAGTTCTTTCCCTCGTTATATATAGCTACCCCGATACAATCGTCACGAAAATTGTTCAACAACTTGCTCTAATTTGCGTCCGACCCTCGTGAAAGGCGTACACCTTGAAACGACGCTAAAATCCTTCAATCTTTTCCTGAAAAAACGATCTCCAACCACGATGGACAGGGGACAGGAAAATCGTGGTCGAAGTAGGCTGCGCTACCCTCGTTCCTCGATTCGATCATAAAATTGCATTAAAAGGCACTCTGGCTGGGCGACTCGATTTTCTGGCACAAATGACAGAGGCTCGAGCATCGTTCTTCGCCTGTCGCCGCTATTAGCTCTGTTAATTTTCAATTACCTGTCGCGCCAAACGGTATTTGCAAGCCGTGGTCTATCTCGAACGACCGGCTGCAACAATTTGCGGGGCTAATATGTATCATCGGTGGGAAAAAAGAACGAAAAGTAAAATGATTCGTTGACAGTTCATGAAATATTGTTTGATAATTCAAGTAAATTAATCCTCCGTCCATTAAGAAAAATTATAAAATTAAAAAAAAAGACATTAAATGTGTAAATCGGGTCCAATGGACCCGCTTGGTAGACTGAGGGTAAATCTTCAAGTCTTGATTAAAACATAATCTCCCTTATTACGTGGTAATTGGTGCCATTAATTTCCTGATAATTATTGTAATAGGGGTATTATAATAATAGGCTAACAAGTATTGGCCGCACGCGAAACACGCAAACGCAACGGCAGCAAAACCGTCTCTCACGACAAGAAATAATTCTTCTAGCCTCGATCAAGGAGAATTCTCTCACGGTGACTGGCAATCGCGACAGTTTCCCAAAGAGACACGACGTCGCCGTCGTTGCTCGAGAACAAGCCGGAAGCGTCTCGTCAGCGTTTGTTCATTATCGAAGTTTGTTAGCGGAAAAGTGTGCGTCGACGGGAAATCGAGATAAACGTCGTTTCCCTCGCCCTTTCGTCCATTCGTCCCTCGAAATTTCCACACCCCCGTATTATCGCGACGCCGGCGACACGACAGCCGACAAACCAACAAGGGTTAACCCAATTATTTAGCTGCCGAACTCCGTGTCTGGGGGTGAAGAAACGATTCGCAGCGGAGTGTTTGTACGAAAAAACTAGCCAGAACTATTTTATTGGTTCCATCTAAATTAAATGCACTCACGAGTGATATAACATAATTATTAGAAAAACAAAGAGGTAAGAACGTACTAAATCAGGAAGGGGTTAAAGATGAATGGAGAGAATAGTCGTGAATCTTTATAAGGGTTAGATAAAAGCTCAGATCCTCGACCCATGCTATCTGTTAGCAAACTATCTCAATCCAACCGCCAAATGGGCAGTAAACTCTTATGAGCTAGGGTAGTAAATTCAGAAAGAATCGTAAGGGGTAGAAAGTGTCCTCCGTGATAATGTTTTCGAGATATTCTTTTGATAGAAACGGTCTATCCTCCGTTTCAGTGCAAATAAATTAAGGTTCAAGTGAAATTTTCTCTAGATTGTCAAACTTTCTCGTTGAAAGTTTCAACCCTTCCTTCGTTAATTCCTCTATTTATTCTCAGGGAACCCCATAAGGTCTCGCGGTCCTTCTTGAGTTATGCGCCCTAGGGAGTTGCATTTATTTAAACAATAGTTTCGAGGGATCTGGATGGCACTTAAGTGTCTAGTGAAAGGCGTGTATCAAGAGATCAAAGCAGCGCTAATACAAGTACCTATGTAATTAACCCAAGGTATCTGTATTCAATGTTCCAAGAAAATATTCAGGAGCGCACATGCGCCAAGATGTACGAGGACCAGGTGTGTTGCCTGGTGAATTCGCTTTATATGGACACGTGGGTCCAGGCCCGACAATTATCGATTGACCGTCCCTAAGAAATGTCGAAGCGTCTCTCTCCGTCGTTCCATCGGTGGTAAGGCGGTCCGACGAACGTAATAACTTTAGGGATTTCCCGGAAGAGCCATCCCGACGTTTACGATAATCAGTCGCCGTATATTAGGTAACGAAAGCCCTCTGAGGAAGGTTTCGTTGCATGTAATCATCTGTGGCGGGCTCTGGAATCACCGATAAACCGACGTCACTTCGATTTCTTTAACGAGACGCCGCGATAAATTAACCGAGTCGTTTCGGTCGTTTTTAAAAGCGGAATCGCAATTCCTTATCCCCGGCCCGGTAGAGCTAGACCTACTTACCGAATCGGGGCTGAACGAGGCCGAAAGCCGGCCGGATTTTAATAGTCCCGACCGTTTGTTATCCTTTTATGCATTCGTTATCGATCCGCATTAACGAGGAAACTCGAGAGGGCCCGGCAAAGGAGAAAAAGAATAATAAGAGGATGCGAAAGGTTGGCATGGGGTTTCGTAGCTTGGAAATTTCAGGCTACCATGGCCAGCCTCGGACCATGCCGGCAGGCCGGTTATGAAGTTGGAAGCTGCAGCTTCGCAGCTGGCGCCACATGGCCCCTCTCTCTCTCGCTGCTACTGCTGGCTGCTCAACTTTCCTCATTTGCCATAATCTATGACCCCCCATTAAGAGGACGGGGCCTAGAGCCGGGCTTACTAAGGACCAGGTAACACGGATCCGTGCAAGATGTCTCCGGTAACAACGAAGAAATTAGCGGAAACTCGAATTGCGTGGCCCCCGGTTGCAATCGGCACTTCCACGGCAAAGATAACGCCGACCACGAGGGTTGGGAGATGCTCGCCTCCGCTCTGATGTCGTGACGCGAGTGTTCTCGATGGTCTTCGATCGCGTTTCAATTACTCTTCTTACATTTTCTTTTTTTCCTTTTTTTTTTAGGGAACTTTAACCCCGCTGTTCCTCTTGGGTTTATGTATCAGAGTTCAAAATCGAAATGACCTAAGTTTATGGTTATGGGTAGTTCAAAATGAAACAGAGAGATTTAAAGGTAGTTCTCAGAAATGGAAAAGGGGAATTTCATTTGCCAGATGACTGCACCGTCGATTGTGTTAGCCGGACTATCGGCAGATTCTCTTTTCTTTTGATCTACATTTTCAGATCTCTGATTCAATTCATTCTCTTCACGTAAGTTTGATTTTCTAGCACACCCATGTGTCAGATGCATAAGCATTTATAGTTCACTTACAAAGAACATTTTTTTTCTTTCTAGAATGTGATTAAATTTGAAAAATATAAAATAATCGAGGAATAAAATCCGCTATTGGGAGGAATGGTCGTGTTACGGGACGTTTGAAAGATTCCCCCTTTAGAAACGAAGGTTTCGTTCGCTTACCACCGATGCAAGCTATAAATCTCGGTCGACTTGCCGGTGAAATTGCACGCTTTACATCTCCTCGCGGGTAAGTGGAAATTGGTTCTTCCATTCCGACATCCCTGAAACTACCAACTTTAATCTTGCGCCAAAATCGATGTGGTCTTTGCCATCCCGATAGCGAGCAAAAGGAGGCGGAAGTGGGGGGGCATTTCTACATTGATTTACTTCGCGAGCGACAGGTTTATTACTTCGATGTGTACAAACGCACCTGCATGAATAAAATCCGCTTCGTACGACTCCGGTTGGGATTGATTCGAATTCTCGCGGAGAAATCAAGCGTTCCGACGGGAACGGGGAATGTATAACATTCCGAGATCACGAGATTGGATTCTTCTTCTTCGTACGCTTTCCTTTTATCCCGCGCGGGGAACAAATTCACTCAAAAGTCAGCACCCGTTTACGACCGAGACGCTGATTATTGCAAGTGCTCTTCAAAATTTGATTTGTCCGCATAAATTGCAAGCACAAACATGGCGGATAAAATACTTGTTTATCGTTGCACGAGGAAAAATTGCATTACAGGTGAAGTAGAAATTCTTCTATCGAACTTAGAACCTGAAAGGGGGGTAATGGGGTTGTTTGAAAAAATCGTAATGCGTGTTACATAGATCTTTATTCCTCGGGTCTTCGACTCTCCAGAACCTTCTCCTCCCCATATAAACCCTTATTAACCATATTAACCCTTGTTCCCCGTCCACCCTTAATTGAAAGAATCTGTTATATAAAATCCCATAGAAATCGGGGGCTAATGGGCGTATCAGAATTCACGGCATATGGCGCGTCTCGTGGTGTCCAGTGATGGGAATGCAAGTGGAAGCAAGTCGGCAAGTCGAAGAAGAGGGACGATGGTGATGGAGAGTAGGTAGAAGCACGGTACATGGCCTTTGTACGGGTGCTTAGAAGCGTGAAGGCTCGCATAGACATTATTACATTATCCGTGTAAATGTGAGGCAGCGAGTGTGCGTCTCTTATGTTGACCGCACTCACCGGGAAATAACTTCCATGAACCACACCTTGGTAATCGACGTGCTTCATAGAAGCATAAACGATACCCGAGGGTATGTGCATCGTGTCGGTGAAGTTCAGAAGCTTCTTAATCGAATACTTTTTAAAAAATGCTGCATAATACTTGACCATGCTGGTACAAGGGTGGAGGAATCAATACACAATTCTTATAGTATGGTACATGGTAATCATTGGGTTAAACGATTATTTTGCAAATTAAGAGCAGCTCAACCAAACAGTTTTAATGTAATCTCTCCAGCGACGATGCCAAATGAAAATGGAGCATATCGACAGGCAAAAGGTACGTTTGGCCGCGAACGAAGCGATAAATGCCCGGAGGAATTGTAAAATATGGTTTACGACGGTGCTGCAATGCAGGTCCCCGAGGTGGAAGAGGATTCACCTTCTTCTTCTTCTTCTTCGACAGATCGATAGGTCGGATCGACTGACGGCAGCCGTCTCGATTCTCTGAGGAAACGGATTTCAGGGGGATGAGAAGGGTGGGACGAAATTCGAAATCTCCTCGGGCAGATTGCCTCGGAGCGCAAAGTTCTCTTTAACTCCTTGCCGCACAAAGAACTGCGTTTGCCCGACGAAAGTGTCGCGATGAAAAGTCGCGAAAATGTCTAGAATCAACGTGTTGCAGGGCAATCGACCAGCTCCCGATTCCTCGAGGCGTTTCAACAGGCTCGGACTAATTGTAAGAATCGTTTATCGAAACTATGAGCTTCGGTTTAGAACGCATATTAACTCCTTTAATTTTGTGTTTCAGCCGTCACGGTCAATGGCTGCCAGTGTCGTATCACCGTGGTTCGCGAGACTGGCCCTGACGGTGACATGTGGCCAGGAGAAAAACAGAAAATTTCTCTACTCATCCGTGTGCAAAGAGAGAGAGGAAGAGAGGACGCCGATCACTCAGAAAGCCGAATGAAATTGGCATTTCAATTGGACAAGACAAAAATTGCAGTACGATCGCCCCGACGGGGCGACGTACGGCAGTTAAATCGCAGTATCGTACCGACGCGTCAGTCGACGACAACATCGATCGTTTTCGACGTGAAGTCACGACGGATTGTCGGCCAATTTCGCGGAGACGCGTATGTATTACTGATAGACCGCTGACAGTCGATCCTCACCGATTCTAATTCGTTCTGCTTGTTTTCAAGAAGTCATAACCGAATGTTTATGGTCCAATTCAGGGTATGGTTAATGAATACAGCTGTTAATTAAAAAGGTAAGAAATATAACTTTATTTATCTTTTGTATAATACATGGTCTCTGTGCGAATTCGGTTGTGGTTTGTTGATCGAAGTTACAAAGAAATCTTAGTGTCTCTTCGTTTCGTCGTGGAGTAAGTCTAAAACGTGATCCGTGCACAAAGAGCGTCACGGCACGCCTGTGTGCCCGAGCCTCATTTAAATAACAGATAATTGCCAGTCCTGTTAATTGAAGCGCCGCGGGGATCGTCGGAAGGGAGAGGCTAGAGAAGAGTTAGCCAAGATTTTGCAGCGGTACACCACCCTCTCGTTTCCGTCTTCCGTTCCTTTCTCTCTCTCTCTCTCTCGTTACCTGTGTCTCCTTTCCTATCCGAGAGTTAACGCGAGACCCGATTTCCCGTCTGCCGAGCTACTGCAACAAATAAATCGCTTTTGTCATTTGCACGCCACCCTCCACCCCCTTGTATTTCACCCCTTTTCAGCCAGCCAACTGTTAGCGACGGTTACAGACTCGTCGATGGAACGGTAAAAAGTTGAGCAGTTTCGCAGCAAATCACGGCGGAGAGTTAATCTGGCTAATGGCAATGTTCGTTGCGCAGAAATTCGTAACGTATCGTTATCTTAGAATTCCTTGCCCTTCGCTCCGGTTCCCTCCCGTTCCCTTGTTTCCTATCCGGTCCTGCGTCGAAGGACAAAACAGGGGAGGATCTCGTTTAAATAACGGATAATTGGAAGTCTCCTTAATTGAAGCTGTGCGCGGCGGAACAGTTAGCCGCGTTCCTCGTGACACGCCTTGCACCCGTTTCCTCCTTTAACCAGACGAATCCCGTTGTTAACGTCAACCACAAATCTGTGCGAGAAAGCCCGGCTAAGAAGATGGAACATTGTTTGGCGAAAGAATTTCGAGAGCACCAGGTTCACTCTTTTGTAAGTTGAAAAGAATTGTTGGTAGTTCGATCTTTGTGTCTGATTTTACGTTCTGCTTTATCCCTTAATTGTGATTGTATTAGATCGTCATTTGTTAATCAAAAGGTACTATAAAAATTTATGGATTTTATAAATTTAGGAATGAACAATACCTGAATTTCATTTCGAAAATATTCATCCATGGTAGGGGCAAAATTCTGATAGGTAATAGAACCAACGGAAAAGGAAACAACAGTGTAAGGAAAGTAGTGCATGGAGCAGGTTATCCTTTCCAGTTTCTGACGGCGCCAGCGTTTCCATCGTTTTCCTCTCGGCGTCGTCGACGTCGATGTCCTTATACCCTTTTTCCTCGGCCAGCATCGTCAACCGAACAAATCAACCCCCTACCGTCGTCTTGAAGCAGAAGAGGGTTGACAGCATAAACCTGGCTCCGGGAAGCACGACTCCGACAGCAGTTCCCGAACGCATGAATTTTTAATAAAATCACCCACGGAAGACGTCACCCCTTACAGGAGATACCTTTTCGATGCGGCTTCAAACCGCCCCCGCTTCTCTTAACCGAGACTAACCTGTCTTTCCCTTTTTGTCTAGCCGTCTCGTTCCTATAACATATCTGCGAAAACTTCTTCAACCGTGTGCGACTTCCGTTTTCTTTCGATTTAATAGTCAGGATCCTCGACACGCGTAAATAGTACGGATTGAAAACTCGTCCGGCCTGAATCTATCCACCGAGGGGTGGAAATCGTCCGTCGCTTTAGGGGAATGTTCCGGATGATACTTGGAGTGGAATCCACGTTGGAATACCTCGGTAACCTCGTCTAACCTCGCTGATCTCCCCTTGCACACTTAGCGACCCTTGTCTTGGCTGGTCGAGGATGATCGATTCTGTTAGCGTTCGGTGTTACTGCTGACATCGCGTTATCGCGGTTGGACATCTGTCGAAGTCGAACATTTTGTCTTTCCGATTGTTTTGGAAATTTTTCATATCGCAATTTGTTAATCAATCGAGTGATAATTAATTTTAAATATTCTGTATAACCATCGATTGATCTAATATGCCAATATTTCAAATATACATTAAACAATAATTTTTCCGAATGTCAACGTGCTTTCACCATTTGTCTAGCAGTTTACTGTCACCATGAATCCTCGGGAACCGGAAACCGTGAAAAACTACCCAGACGAAATGAGAAACGAACGAGTATCGTCGCGTTGCAACATCCAGTCATCGATCCTCCACGCATCCTCGAGGCACAATGGAGAGACTACGCAATAAATTCCGGCTAAAAAAGGATCGGGAGGTAGGGTGGCCGATTGAAACGGAGTAATAGAGGAAAGAGTGGGTATTGTCGAAAACTTAGGCATCCACGTTCGTCCCATATGGCATCGAAATGACGCACCAGGGAGAGAACTGTCGAGGCAGCCGCCGCGTCGCGCGGCGAACTTCGCCGTCTGCGAATTCACGTTTCTCTAAACCCCCTCGCCCCTTCATCCATCCCTCTTCCCTCTTAACCCTCGACTCGTGACGTGCAGCATTGTGCGACACGCATTGCCCTCTTCTCGCTATTAACGCGCTCGTTCAGTCACGAGTGGGCCGTCGTTCCTTTTGAATGATTGAGAGCTAAGACAACGCGACAGATTTCGCGAGTGAAGGACTCGAAGGATTGGTCCTCGTGCAACTCGCTTCAACTCGCTCTAACGAGACTCTTTCGTTGATAAATCCTCGTGATGGGACTTGAAACTGCAATAGTGTTATTCAATCGTATTTTAACGCGCAGGACGTGTGGATATATTGTTCATTCGTTGGTAGCCACTTAACACCTTTACTTATTTTAATTATTTAAAGTTTTATTATTTATAATTATTGCCCAAATCCTTAATTTTCCAAATCCAAATAGTGTGAAATGCGAACTTAAATTAAAATTGAGGTTCTCTCCATGGTCCGTCGTCCGAGGGTTAAAGGAGGTAATAATCGTCAGTGACGAGCAATAAATATAGCTTTAACTTAGATCAACTGGTGACGATTAAAAAGTCCATTTCCTTAAGAATTAACTTGAACCATTAGGCGAGATTGACGGATAGTTTCTTATTATTTCTTTTCCTCTTCTTTGGCTGAACTAAAACGAAGAGGAGAATAAAGGAAAAGAAGAGTTGCGCTACGAGTCCGCTCTGCTCACTCGACGATTCATGGACTCAGCGCGATCTCATCTTAAAGATTACATCTGAGCGGACTGTAAGGAACTGGGGATCTCTTTTTCCTGCTGCTCGCGACTGTTCCACCATTCCTGCTACCCTTTACGATATCGTTCAGCCCGCCCCCGTGTTTTCTCCCCAGGAAGAAAGGGAACTTCGAACTGCTCTTTGATGACGATGCGTCGCCGACTCCGTGCCCGTAGCTTTATTTTATAGGCGTCTTCTTGCCGATCCAGATATTGATTGAGATTCGCGAAACTTGCCGAAAGGACCATCCCCCTCGAATCGCTGAAACGAAATCTATTCGAGGCAGGGTGGCCTCCCGCTTGGTATTCCAACAACGTTCCAAGTGGTTCATCCGCGATCGTGGATTTGTTCGAGCCGAATGCTATTCTATCGGGGATAGAGACCAAAAGCTCGTTGTCAGGAAAACAATGATCTTTATCTTATATATAATTTAGCTTCCTTGTTATCGAAAGGGGGATAGGAACGCAGCTATGTGAACGATGCGTTTGTGAATCTCTGAGTCTGCTGCAATCAGAATCAAAGATTTAAAGCCATTTAATTTTTAAGAAAATAAAAATTATTGGTCCGTGATTTTGTAAGATTCAACTCCTCTGTTTAAAGATTAAGAATCATCAGAATAGCGTTCTGGTGACTTTAAGAAAATGACCCACTTCGAATGCCATTCAAGGCATTGGATTACAAGCGAAATGTTACCAAGTAAGTGACAATGATTTCGTTGAGACACAAGGGAATCGTGTCAATTATATTCGACGTGTACGTACTACTTTCTTGCTGGTTGCAGAGATGATGCTCGCCAATCAGAATCGTTTGTAAGCGAAGGACCTGAAGGTGCTTCCAATTACACGAAACGTCACGGTTGAGTCAAGAGATCGGGGTCACGTCATTCCAAGCAGACTTCTCTCTTCTCGCTGCACCCGCGTTTGGTTCACGCTACTTCTCCATTTTTCTCTTAGTTCGTGTCACTGATCGCCTTATCTAAACTGGTTTTAGCCGAGTGCACGAGCGATACCGTAAAATTGAAGAGTGTGTAATTCGAGTTATTGCTAGATTCGATTTGCTATAAACGATACAATGGGTACTAGAACTGTTAAACGAAATGTTATGAAAAATTTAGTTAATAATCGAGCAGAAGAACGCGAGTGATCCTCGAAGAAGCGTTTCGTAACGATTTTAAAGCAGGTGAACCAGTTAATTTCTGAACGCTCCGAACCGTCAAACGCGATTACGTTGCAACCCCCTGCTTTTCTCACCCTCCTTCCCCGTTCTTCCTTCTCACAGCCGAATATTGTAGCAAGATAAAAACTGAATGCTCCTCCACGGGGCCTGGATGTCAAAGATACGGGCCATAATTGGGAGGACTATTCAGTTCTAAATCGTGGAACACACACGACTTTGTGATTGACGCGCGTTGTACCTTTTGCAGCCGATAAAAAGCATTGTTAACGATGCAGCAATTTCATGGATAAATTAACGAGCGCTGTAGCACACGAACACAGCTCAATGGAAGGATATTTTCCATCGCGAAAGGGAAAATTTTAATTTCCTGCGTTCCTCGGAGTCTCGGCATTATTTCGAGCATAATTACGCGAAAAAGAAATCAAGTAGGAGATAATCGAGGCTATTATAATAGTAATTAGGAATTCGTATATCAAACAATGAGCTTCCCATTTCTGGTTAATATTTTGTACGTGTAACAAATTTTAGATTAAGTAGGTATAATTTAAGCTCCACTTCTAAAAACTGTATTTTAGGAAGAAAAGAAGGAATTGTGGTTTCATTGTTAAATTCAGAGATTCGAAGCTTGCGAATGAAGGGACAATGATATTTTGAAATCGTATTGCGGTCTGTGCTCGGTCGTTTGCGTAATTATAACCGAATAAGCCAATAACACTTGGAATAATAACGATCGGGAATTAAAATTTGAAAACCAATTTATTCGTTGTGGCTTGAAATTATTACCGCGTTAATTGAAGGACTAATGAATTCTGTACGATCACAATTACATTTCGTTGCCCATGATTGCCGACTGGACTCGTTTATTTGTCAAATTGCACCCCGATATTGTCTGGCGAACAGCGAGGAGCCTGGTTAAACAGTAAGTATTTATCAACTGGGCGCGATAAGTTTCTGTTTAAACAAAATACAGATCAATATTCGCTCTGTTGCTTTACGATTCATAAGAATCATTTTAATATGAATAATGTGGAAGAAATATAAAATATAGAAACTAGAATAAGATGAAATATTTTTCACACTAGTTACACACTGAAAAGCAAATGAATGTTGAAGTTACATTAACAGTATCCAATTAAACACGGAAACATTTTGTAGTGTTGATATATCAATGTAGTTCGATTTAACTTCTGCAAAAGTATGTCTTCGACGTTTTCCGTATTTGTGATTGGTAAGGAAAGGTGCGTAAAAAGGTACGGAGAAATTGCATTCGACGTATCGAGTTTGATTCATAGTTGGCGCGAGCAAATCCAAAAAATTACTTGCCATGGCTCGTATTTCGCGGCCAAGTTCCGTGAAAGTTGTAACCAAGTTGTAAATGGTCTGTCGTAGGAAAAGTTCGAGGTGGATGGTAATGTAACGAATGCAATTTCGTTTTATACCGACAAAGTAGCCCGTAAGTCAAGAAATTCCTTGCTACTTCCAAACAGTTTCTCGATCTTATCCCAAGGATATTTAAAATATGAAATTTGTTACGTTTATCAAGTGCGTAAACCATTTAAGAAATAATAACGCCATTGTCAAACAATAAATCACTACACTGAAGCTTACTTTGGTAGGGTTTTAACTAGAGAAACCTATATGATGAAAAGTTATGCGTAGTCTTACATCTGTGAAACCTTTACATTTCGATTGTACATCCCTTACATCTCTGCACCTCTTACATCCTTGTAATACTTATATCCCTGCATCGCTTACATCTCAGCATTCCTAACATCCCTGCATTCCTTACATCTCTACATCCTCTACGTTTCTACAGATCTCATATCTCTGTATCCCATACATATCTGCGTCTCTTACATCTCCACATTCCTACATTCCTTACATTTGTTCATCCCTTACATCCCAACATTGTTTTCATCCCTACATTTCTTACATCTCAGCATCACTTACATCCCTGCATTCATTTCATCCCTATATTCTTTTCATCCCCACATTCCTTTTATACCTCCATTCCTTTCGTCCTATATTCCTTTCATCCCTACATTTCTTACATCTCTTCATCCCTTACATCACTGCATCACTTACATCCCTGCATTCATTTCATCCCTCCATTCTTCTCATCCCTGCATTCCTTTCATCCCTACATTCATTTCGTCCCTATATTCTTTTCATCCCCACATCCTTCTCATACGTCTATTCCTTTCGTCCTATATTCCTTCCACCCCTACATTCATTTCATCTCTACATTCATTTCATCCCTACATTCATTTCATCCCTATATTCTTTTTATCCCCACATCCTTCTCATACCTCCATTCCTTCCATCCTATATTCCTTTCATCCCTACATTCATTTCATCCCTATACGCTTTTCATCTTTACATTCCTTACATTTGTTCATTTCTTACATCCCAACACTGTTTTCATCCCTACATTTCTCAAATCTCTTCATTCCTTACATCTCTGCATCACTTACATCCCTGCATTCATTTCATCCCTATATTTTTTTCATTCACACATTCTTTTCATACCTCCATTCCTTTCGTCGTATATTCCTTTCATCCCTACATTCCTAACATCTCTTCATCCCTGACTTCACTGCATCACTTACATCCCTGCATTCATTTAATCCCTACATTCATTTCATCCCTCCATTCTTCTCATCCCTGCATTCCTTTCATCCCTACATTCATTTCGTCCCTATATTCTTTTCATCCCCACATTCTTTTCATACCTCCATTCCTTTCGTCCTATATTCCTTTCATCCCTACATTCCTTACATCTCTTTATTCCTTACATCCCTCCATTCATTTCATCCCTACATTCATTTCTTCCATATATTCTTTTTATTCCTCCATTCTTCTCATCCCTGCATTCCTTTCATCGCTACATTCATTTCATCCCTACATTCATTTCATCCATACATTCATTTCATCTCTATATTCTTTTCATCCCTACATTCCTTTCATCCCTACATTCTTTCCATCCCTCCATTCATTCCATCCCTACACTCTTTCCATCCCTAAATTCATTCCATCCCTGCATTCCTTTCATCGCTACATTCATTTCATCCCTACATTCTTTTCATCCCTACATTCTTTTCATCCCTACATTCTTTTCATCCCTACATTCTTTTCATCCCTACATTCTTTTCATCCCTACATTTATTTCAACCCTTCATTCATTTCATCCCTACATTCCCTATATCTCTCCATCCCTTATATCTCTGTATCGCATACCTCCCTGCATTCTTCACATATTTGCAACATTTTTATGCAAAATCGTGCAAAATTTAGTTCCCTTTTTCGCCACCAGATGGCGCTGATTCGACATCGAAATTTTAGTTCACATTTTTGCCGCTAGAGGGCCAAAAGTTGAGTTTGATTTAGTTCCTTTTTCCAAAACCAGATGGCGCTGATTCGACATCGAAATTTTAGTTCACATTTTTGCCGCTAGAGGGCCAAAAGTTGAGTTTGATTTAGTTCCTTTTTCCAAAACCAGATGGCGCTGATTCGACATCGAAATTTTAGTTCACATTTTTGCCGCCAGAGGGCCAAAAGTTGAGCTTGATTTAGTTCCTTTTTCCAAAACCAGATGGCGCTGATTCGACATCGAAAATTTAGTTCACATTTTTGCCGCTAGGGGGCGCTATTTTTCGAGAATTTCGCGAGAATCTCGGAAAAAAAGCGCCCCCTAGCGGCAAAAATGTGAACTAAATTTTCGATGTCGAATCAGCGCCATCTGGTTTTGGAAAAAGGAACTAAATCAAGCTCAACTTTTGGCCCTCTAGCGGCAAAAATGTGAACTAAAATTTCGATATTGAATCAGCGCCATCTGGGGGCAAAAAAAGGAACTAACTTTTGCAAAATTTCTGACAAAAAACTACTTACCTTTACCTACCTTTACTCGAAGCAGTCTTTGTAATATATTTATTATAAGGGTTGCATGGATATAAGGGATGCTGGGATGAAAGGGATGTAGGGATGAAATGAATATAGGGATGTAAGGGATGAAGAGATGTAAGGGATGTAGGGATGAAAAGAATGTAGGGATGAAAAGAATGTAGGCATGAAATGAATATAGGGATGTAAGGAATGAAGAGATGTAAGGGATGTAGGGATGAAAAGAATATAAGGGTGAAAAGAATGTAGGGGTGAAAAGAATGTAGGGGTGAAAAGAATATAGGGATGTAAGGGATGAAGAGATGTAAGGGATGTAGGGGTGAAAAGAATGTAGGGTGAAAAGATTGTAGGGATGAAAAGAATGTAGGGATGAAAATAATGGAGGGATGTGAGGGATGAAGAGATGTAAGGAATGTATGGATGTAAGGGATGAAGAGATGAAAAGAATGTAGGGATGAAAAGAATGTATGGATGAAAAGAATGTATGGATGAAAAGAATGTTGTGATACAAGGGATGTAGAGATCTAACTAAACGTGGGATGTAAATAATGCCGTAGAGGTCCTGGGCTGGGGCCCTGGTCTCCACTGCACGCGGTCCCAGGAGTGCCGGCATCGGGTGTGGCCCCCGATGTCGGCGGAGTTTGGCACATGGCGGAGGGTCGAAGGACCCTCCCTTTAGCCACAGTGCAGGCCACCGTGGTGGTTTTAGTGGGTAAAAATCCCACACTACCTCCGGCCCCTCCCCAGGGGGGCGGAAGGTGTCTTTCTGAAGATTTCCACCACGTTAAAAAAAAAAAAAAAAAAAAAAAAAGGAGATTTAGGAGTTGCAGGGGTGTACGAAATGCAGGGATGTAAGCAGTGCACAAATGTAAGGGATACAGAGATGGCCTTGGACTACAATGTGAGATTAAATTATATAAATAGCTAGAAAATGTAAAATAAAAGGGATCCTCTTCGTTGTTCCCCTTCGATGCGCTTATTTTATAAGCAAAAAAAATTAATTAAGTAAATTAAATAAACTGGAGAAAAATTAAAGGACAATTATTATATTGGTTGCACCCCCTTCATACGTCCCTGATTTCATCCAAGGGTGTTAGGGACCGTGCTGCGCCAATGACACCGTCTGCGTACCGACCTGTTATCAAATTGGGTATTAAGGACCTCAAAATGCCGATAAGTATCCCTGCATACTAATAATTTAGCATTCGGGGTGCCAAGGACCCCAAAGCACCAGTGACGATCCCTGTGTGCCGACCTGATACCACCTTGGGGTATCAGGGACCCCGAATCGCCGGTGAGTATCTCTGCATAACAATATTATACCAGCCGGGGTGTCAGGGACCCCAAATCGCCGGTGAGTATCTCTGCATACCAATATTATTGCATACGGGGTGTCAGGGACCCCGAATCGCTGTGAGTATCCCTGCATACCAATATTATTGCATATGGGGTGTCAGGGACCCCGAATCGCTGTGAGTATCTCTACATACCAATATTATAGCAGCTGGGGTGTCAAGGACCCCGAATCGCCGGTGAGTATCTCTGCATACCTATATTATTGCATACGGGGTGCCAGGGACCCCGAATCGCTGTGAGTATCTCTACATACCAATATTATAGCAGCCGGGGTGTCAAGGACCCCAAATCGCCGGTGAGTATCTCTGCATACCAATATTATTGCATACGGGGTGTCAGGGACCCCAAATCGCTGTGAGTATCCCTGCATACCAATATTATTGCATATGGGGTGTCAGGTACCCCGAATCGCTGTGAGTATCTCTACATACCAATATTATAGCAGCTGGGGTGTGAAGGACGCCGAATCGCCGGTGAGTATCTCTGCATACCTATATTATTGCATACGGGGTGCCAGGGACCCCGAATCGCTGTGAGTATCCCTGCATACCAATATTATTGCATATGGGGTGCCAGGGACCCCGAATCGCTGTGAGTATCTCTACATACCAATATTATAGCAGCCGGCGTGTCAAGGACCCCAAATCGCCGGTGAGTATCTCTGCATAACAATATTATAGCAGCCGGGGTGTCAGGGACCCCAAATCGCCGGTGAGTATCTCTGCATACCAATATTATAGCAGCCGGGGTGTCAAGGACCCCAAATCGCCGGTGAGTATCTCCGCATACCTATATTATTGCATACGGGGTGCCAGGGACCCCGAATCGCTGTGAGTATCTCTACATACCAATATTATAGCAGCCGGGGTGTCAAGGACCCCAAATCGCCGGTGAGTATCTCTGCATACCAATATTATTGCATACGGGGTGTCAGGGACCCCGAATCGCTGTGAGTATCCCTGCATACCAATATTATTGCATATGGGGTGCCAGGGACCCCGAATCGCTGTGAGTATCTCTACATACCAATATTATAGCAGCCGGGGTATCAAGGACCCCAAATCGCCGGTGAGTATCTCTGCATACCTATATTATTGCATACGGGGTGCCAGGGACCCCGAATCGCTGTGAGTATCTCTACATACCAATATTATAGCAGCTGGGGTGTCAAGGACCCCGTATCGCCGGTGAGTATCTCTGCATACCTATATTATCGCATCTGGGGTGTCAGGGACCCCTAATCGTTGTGAGTATCTCTACATACCAATATTATAGTAGCCGGGGTGCCAGGGACCGAGGACCCAAGGAGTGTCGGCACCGGGTGTGGCCCCCGTTGTCGGCGGAGTTTGGTACATGGTGGAGGGTGAAAGGGCCCTCCCTTTAGCCCCAGTGCCGGCCACCGTGGTGGTTTTAGTGGGTAAAAATCCCACACTACCTCCGGCCCCTCCCCAGAGGGGCTGGAGGTGTCTTTCTGAAGATTTCCACCACGTTAAAAAAAAAAAAAAAAAAAAAACGGACGAACGAGATGCAGAGATGCTATGGCTGCAGGGATGCAAAGAAGTAAGGGATGTAAAGGATGCAGACATATAGTAAAACCTGGGTAAGTATGAGAAAAGATTGACTGAATAAGTGTAATTTTGCCACCATTTTCTCTAGAGGGATGCTGAGCGTGTTCGGGGGTGTACAATGGTCCATAAACGAATAAACACGTGTGTGATTACGCGAATCGACTGGAATCCCAGACGAAAATCGCTTCAGCGTGGGTGAGCGTTTCAGACGACATCGAATGGTGAAGGGTAACACGAAGGATTAAGAGCAGCCGGCAAACACGACGCTTAGCAAATATTGAACTGCAAGGTTGGCCTGGTGTGGTCTTTAAAAATAACAGACTTTCCTGAAAGCTCGACGGACACGTGCACTGACGAGACACTCGAGAACGAAAGAAGACAGGCAGGAACGTTGTCCCAAAGTAACGTTCTTTTCGCCCTTTTCCTGAACACTACCTACGGATACCACGATACCACGACTCGGTGTGTTTGTTTTCTGAAACGAAATAAAG